AACAGCAGAGGACATCCCTAAACCTCTGTGCTGCCACAATCTCAAGCTTCCAAGGACTGTTTACTGGGTTATTGCCACCCACGAGTTACCACTGTTGCCTGGCCCTCCTCTCCAGTCTGGCATCAGGACCACCCACTGGAACCATTATTATTCTTCTCTGCCTCAGCCTTTTCTATTCCAGGCGAAATGTTTTCTAACCCTCCTGGCAGATTTTATTTTTCAACTTCAACTTAAGCATCTTTATGGGTGGTGTGAAAATTAATTTCCCAGTGGTAGGCCATATTTGTGGAGAACTCCTGGTTAGGAAACTATGGTTTAAGTCCTCTCTTTTTCTTCTAGTAACCAACTATGTGAAAGAGAGCAAGTCAATTAATTTTTCTAAGTCTCTCACTTTCATCAACTATAATAATGTTAGATTAGATGATGTCTGAATCCCTAAAGATATTTGAATTACAGAGGAGAAATACAACATTTTTCTCTGGTATTTTCCTTTTAGGAAAAAGGAGGTAAACTCCAAGAAAATAAGCTGACATTAGGAATTTTTTATAGTTTAAAAAAAGAGAGAGAAGCTGGGTGCAGTGCCACATTCCTGTAGTCTCAGCTACTCAGGGGGCTGAAGCAGGAGGATCACTTAAGCCCAGGAGTTCGACAGCCTGGGCAACATAGTGAGACCCTGTCTCTTTAAAAAATACAAGAAAGAAAAGAAAAGAAAAGGAAAGAAAGAAAGAAAGAAAGAAAGAAAGAAAGAGAGAAGCAAAATATATACACACAAAGTGCCAAAAGCCAGGCAAACCTAAACCTCCTCTATGTGACTGACTGCCAGGGCATGCTTTGGAGTCAGATTTCAGTCCAATTTTCTAGATGACAGTTCTCTACAAGAACTGATGTTTTAAATTATTGCCATAAGGGTCTACAGGATCTTAAATCATTGATGAAAATTTAACCATTTTCTCTATGCTCTAGGTCATAATGCATGGAAAGTGCCCTGATACACTTTAGAGAACTAAAAGGATGTTCCTGTTAGGCAAATAATTCAATTAACTGGAATCAGTATTGTGGTAGAGCTTTTAGTGCTAAAGAAGTACTTTAGAGCTATTATTTACTGCAGGCATACACATACCAAGCACCATACTAAGTGCTTTACAAGTATTTTCCCATTTAATTCTCAATAATTTCTGAGAAAACTGGGGCTTAAGAGATTGACAAGTGATGCTGCAGGAATCTCAACTAGGCCTGACTATAAAGCCCACGTTCTCAAAATGACTGGAAACAACCTATCTGAGCAAAAATTATTTAACATCTCTATCAACAGACTATATTTTTGTTCATGCACACATATAAACACACATACCAAAATGTCTTTAAGTAACAAGTTAGAGAAATCAAACTAACAATTTAGAATAGATAATTCTTAGTCAATTAATCTATAATTTTATTAAAGCAAAATATACACAAAAACTTCCTAAATAATTGCTCCATTAATTGTCAAAGTTATTCTTCAAATATAATGTAGCTGAACAGCACTTTTCTTACATTCATTTAAGATCCAGAAAAACTAACCAACCATGTTTTCTGACTTGGCAAGTTCTCTTCCTCCTCTATGCCTTTGCATATACTGTTTCTCCTGCCCAGAATGCCTTCCCCAGCTTGTCTAGCTGGCAAACTCACACTCTTCCTTCAAATCTCTTCAAGTGTATTCTCCAGCGAGTCTCCCAAGCAGAGGTAAACTTCAATGTTCCCTCTGCTACACTGCTGCTGTCCCCCTTTTGAACCTCCATTATGTATGGTGGCTGCTAAAGTACATTGCAATTATCTGTTTATACTTCCATTTTCCTTCAAGACTAACAGTTGCTCAAGGACAGAAACCACGCATCTTCATCTATATATTTCCCAGTCCCTAATGCAGAATATGGGCACAATATAGTTGGGGTTTATTATTTTACTTAACTAATTAATATAAACCAACAAATTATAAACATTTAGAATTTTTCCAGAGACTATTAATGTGTACTATCTACTTTAACTATCTTACAGGCTGTCCTGTAATTCTAGTTTTCAGACAGGCAGGATAGGAGCTGTTTTTTTGAAGATATCCATTTAAAAACTAAACAGTTATAAATTATTGTAGTGGATAATATGGAAGATAAAAAAAACCAGGGGATCCATCTTATGGGACCACAAAAAAGTAGAGGACAGACATGTTTATAATTATTTCAACACACTAATAGAAATAAGAAGGGCTATGGAAACTATAAGGTAGAAGGGCTAATTATAATTAAAAAAGACTGAGGAAGGGCCTGACAGATAACATATAATAAACTGGGCCTTGATGATAATAAACTGGGCCTTGATGAATGAATAGAAAAGTACATTCTACATCAGGGAACAAATAGCATGAGCAAAAGGATTCAGAAGTATAAGATAACGATGCATATTATACATTTTTAAACTTCTAAATTTTACAGATACAGAATGAAAGAACATGGTGTGGAAGTGTTGCATTCATGTATAGAAATCACAAGGATTATAAAAGCTTCAAAGAAATGTATCACATATATCCCTCCTGTATTCTCCTAGCTAAAAAGTATTCTTGGGGACATCCTTCAACTACTATCAGTCCATTAGATAAATTAACTCACTGACAAAGGGATCTAGCAATGATGAAAAGATAACTGAATTTTATTTCACACACTAACCACTCAATAGGCTTGATTTTCAAATTTATTCTAAATATATTTTAACACAAAAAGATATTTTACCTAATATTTTAAATAACAATAGCTGCTGACATCTAGTTGATACCACATACTCTAAAAATGCTTTCACATATATTTACTTATTTAA